CTATTACTACAGAATACCTTGGATCGAAAGCCATCGCCGATACAGGCTGTCCTGCATGCGCTGGAAAATGAGCAACAATTCCGTTTCCTTCGTGGTCGTCTTCCTGGACACAGAACTATTAACACAAGGAATGTAACAGTTACTAAAACAACTTATGGACTGACCCAGCATCATGTACATGTATATAATTCAAACGAATGGTAAATCAACTTACTGTACGATTTGCCTCTCCACAACCAACAGCTGGAATATCAACGATTGTGACTATTCCTGGCACCACCACTTTACCCTTCTACAGTCAGAACAGGAGTTGATAACATTAACTACATGATTACAGTACTGTACATGACAGAGAGAATGACACACTAAAAGCGGGAACTACGGTTATTGATATTACACAATAATCAGTAAGACACAGTAAGATAGCCTTAGATAATTAATGGACCCATCATCAAATATATTGTCATGATAATGTTCAATATTTTCTATGGCAAGTGAATTACTCACATGTGTTGTGTGGTCATTAGCAATCTCATTKGGATACGATGACGTCCAACGACCAACCGTTTCACCTGGGAAAATAAACATTARATCAGCTTGTTTGACAAAGGTTAGAATTTCTTCTAAATGGAAACCTATCATTCACAGAACAATTGATAAACATAATTTATTTTTTCTTGCAAATGTCAACACATCATAAATTAAATATAATAATTACTTACCAAACATAGTAAGTCCTCTTGTCAAAGTCTGTAATAAACAATTATTAACCGATTAACAAAGTGTTAATAATATGGACTTTAGAAAATTCTGATGTACAGTTTCATATATGACATAATTGTTGCTCTTCATCTCTATGTCATTACAACATTTCATTACAACATTTCATTACAACATGTCATTACAACATGTCATTACAACATGTCATTACAACATGTCATGGGATTTTGAGGATAATTTCAAAACCTCGAGACAAGTTGTCAGTTCTCAAGCATTTAGTCCTATAGAAATTTAAAACAGTATACTTCTGTTGCGAGCACCACGATGCAAAGCAACAAGTTGTGTTGATGAAATCAGCCTTTAGCATGTTCAACAAACCTTGGCAGCATTAATGACAGTGGCTGCATATGACTGCGCATTATCACTAGACATCCCCCCACAGGATTGATGGTTAGGTACAAGCTGCACAGAAAAAAGACATTTTAGTTCATTAACTTATTTTAATTGCTGTATGCTTTGCCTTTGACTGCAGAAAATTAAAAGAATTTTCTTTACCTTGCAGTCAGCATAAGCAAGCCATCTTTCACCAAGAGCAAGTGGGTTCAAGTTTGGACTTGGAGCAGGAAAACAACCTGTATATGTTAAAGTAAAATTCATCATATGCCATGCTTTGACATTTTTCAATAGTCTAAAATTCCTATGAAAACTATAGCAGAAATTAGTGAGTTGGAATTGCCATAGCAGAGAACATTGACCACAGAATAGAATCCTATTAAAAGTTCTGGTAATTAATGAAGCTCACTGTAGACTTACTCATGATACAAAAAAGACTAGCCATTGAACAAGCATCAAATGCTGCAATCTTCTCCTGCAAAGCCACAACCATCAACCTAACAAAGGAATTAATCAAATATTAAGTTACAGTCAGGAAACTCTATCATACAGACACTGATGGACAGACAAACCTTTTATTGCTAAGGATGTCATGAACCTCTGTCTTAAAACCAATGGAATGAACTTGTTCTCCAGTAGTTAAGGACCACAAATTGACGGTAGAAAAAGGCAGTGAAGGGCTGTGGACGAAGGGATATCTATTTAATATTAATAATACATTTGTACATGAACCTTTCACCTGTAGCTCTATTGACCCTGGAATAGGTAAAGAGAGGAAATAGTTGAAGACAGGACTATTGCTAAAACAAAATGAAATAATATACATTATTGTTTGGCTGATAGCAATATTCCATACCTTGCAGCATCACAAATGGCAAAAAGTGGTCTACTGGCAGCAAATTCATCTTTCTTTCCTAAACATGCACATCAGTACACACTCATGAGCTACATGTAGCTAATAATTGTTAAATTTTATTGTACACTGTAGATAACCCAAAAAATAATATTTGTGACACTAACATATCAATTATATCATATCTTGCAAAAGAACATATTTAATTTTCAATTTTTACCTTGGTTTTTTGGTGTTTGTACCATCTTGACGAGCCTGACAGGACCTTGACGCAGTGACAGTACCTCATGAGCATCACCAATGGACTACCATAAAACAAGATTAGAATTTAAGAATTTCGTCGTACACAGGCATATTATTATTGATACTTGTTGATTCTTCTGTGCAAAATTGATTTATTTTTTAACCGAGCTCRGTTAAAAAATAAATCAATTTTGCACAGAAGAATCAACAAGTATCAATAAGATTAGAATTATCAATACAGTCTACTAGTCAATCCAATGGTGTCAACTTACTGGAATTGTCCATATTTGGAAGCCATTTGTGTAGCCCAAGACAAGAAGGATGGGGCAAGCAGTACTGCAATCATTTTCCTTGTGGCAACATTCATCTATTTAATAAAACAACAACACTTTTATTACTTTGTTCATCTGGTCAGTGGTCAAAGTCGCCAACAGTTTGCTTGTATAAAACATATTCTTGACATTSTACAGAATGCCAAAAAGGCATGCGTTAATAGTCTGATAGTTTGAAGGAAGGAAATGTTTAGAAAGTTCAAAAGTTTAAAACTATAATTGCAGCAGCTTATTATAAACTATACCTTCAATATCTGTCTTCTCAAATTTCATCCACAAAACTCTTTCTTTGTCCTCTGTTCTTTGGCTTCCAGTAACAGCCTAGATGAAAAATCACCAAAAAAGAAAAACATTTTCATTACAAACATGTTTGCAAAATATTACATTCAAAGTCAATATGTGATAATTTCAAAGTCCAAGTCATCCTAGGAAACCCATGTTTACTCTGTGGCTCATTCCTTGCTGCCCAAAATGAGACCTCTGGGTACAAAGTCTGTTACACCTTGCTCCAGGACTTGAAGTCACATGCTAAATATGGTCAYATGTGATGCCATGTTGTTTACCATTTCTAAAATGAGTCTATAAATTGCATATAAATGCAATTCATGTAATGCAATTTTGGAATTTTTAATAAATGGCATAATTACAATGTCTATTCAGATTTCAGACATAAAGTGAGGTGATGCTAGAACTATATTGCAGATTCTTGATACATAACCAGTAAAATAGTTCAACAATTGAAGAATTATTTGAAAATATATTTCATCAATTTCATCCATTGCTCGATCTGTTTTTGATTGGTTGAGAGATTAATTCAATTCTCTGATTGGTGAATTAATTCACTGGTTGCCATTTTGAATTTCAAAATGAGAGCAAGGTCTAGACTTCGTGCCCAGGGATGTTAATTCTGGGAGTGTTGTTTGTCAATCGTTAATCTATGAAGACCGTAAGTATTGTTTAACTGTTGCTTAAAAAAATAAGGTACTTGGAATGGACTGGCAAAAGTGGGTGCCATCAACTTTCAAATGTGTTGGCTCTGTTTTGGCTTCATTTGTTGGCTCTGTGCCAAATATGTTTGTTATAAAATACGTCTTACAAGTTATCAAAGAACTTTTGTTGTTGCGGGGTGTTTAAGCCCAGTTTTTAAGCTCAGAGCAGTCTCACATGTACATTACACAAATTTCAACTATTTAATTGTTCCATGTGTTGTAATTGCATAATGAACTTTGTATTGATTTGAGGAAAATACCTACAAAATGTTAAAACCCATTGTGAATCAAATTTGATTATATTTAAACGAAGATTATTGTAACWTGAGTTTAGAACGTTTTGCAGTTCAAGCTCACTTTGACAAAACATCCAAAATACTCTTTTTTTAACTCAAGAGTTCCATGGTACTTTGTGCATGGTACGTTGACCTCTAAAATGATCAGGCTAAGAAGCCATCTTGTCTCTTGCCTCCTGAACAAAGTATCATGTATGTTCCTGCAAACCTAGATACCTGGATATGAAGTTCTTGGCCATTTTTCTTAGTATGAAAATTCGATATTTTGATGATTCAGTATGATAAGTATGCAGGGAAAATTCTAATAAATGCTAAAAAAGTTGCATTTTTTTGAAAGCTGACGCAGTCCTGCATTGAACTACCTAAATAGTCAACTTAAGTATATTATCTAGATATTCTGCCTCACAAGAATCAATATGCAGTTTATATGAAATGTACAACAGTTTCTGACATAATTTATAGTTTTTAAATATCTTATGAATTTAATTAAGCTCATTATGACTGACATGAAATGCAGGCACTTTTTTCCACTTCAAATTTATAGAAGTTGTATCAATGCCCTCATTTGGACAAGACTAGATTTTGAGTCCTTGTAATTAGTCCTAGTTCTCTAGCTGACACCTCGAACTATTAATTAAAGGCAACATATGGTACACATATACCATGTCATGGAGAAATGATTGATAGCTCCCAACCAATCAAAACAAACAAAATATTGAATAAAATATGAAAACAAAATTCCTTTTTGGAGTAACATAAAATCTGGTTAATTGGTCCTCTCAGTTTCAAAGTAAATTATTTGATCAACTTTTCCAACAATAACCTTAAAACTTTGGTAAAATAATCTTAATTAGGGGATGATGGTTAATATTATAATAAATTGCACAAAATATGTTTTTGAATATTCCTATTCCCAGTTCTCTCATCTGAGATGAATTAGGAAAATGAAAAGAAAGATAGAAATGATCAGATACATAAGTTACTGTATGGAAATGTTGGGGAATTTTTACTCTTTGTAAAAGCTTTAAGGATAAAACGAAAAACTTGTGCTATACAAAAGAAAAACACAACAATGAAGGCAAAAACTAAAGCTACAAGTATACTTTGAACTGAAAGCAAGATCTTTTTTTCCTTAAAACTTTTGAATAGACTAAAATCTTATTCAAACAATGCATGTCATGCTTCCAGTTCATCAATACAAACTGAATGCCATTTACAAAGATTCTCATGATGTATTTAAGACTTAAAACCACGAAAATCAGCTGATAGCATAACATGACGAAAACAGTTTGGGGAAACGCCAATGTTACAGGACTCTAAAGTTTACCTCTACTGAAGTGATATTTGAACACTTTAAGAATTGTATTAAGAAAAATTATGAACATCACAGCATTTGATGTAAACTTTATGCTGAAACACTACTCAAAATAAACTTCTCTCGTTATGACGTTATGTATCGATGATCCTCTTCAAGAGACTCACCTGGACTTGAGGTACAACGTCGTGTAGAAAGCTTACCACACTCTCCACATAAGACTTGTCGCTGTGTGGGAAATCAAGACCATTTAAGTACTTCAAAATGGCGCTAAAATTATTCAAAATCCCTTTTGAAAAGTTGATATTAAAGTTATACTGACCTAATCGGTTGTGGTCGAACCACCAGTCCGCCAGCTCGCGAAACACGACGACTTCCACCTTCCAAAGACATTTGTACGAGCTCAAAAGCTCCCAAGCCTGAAATAGGAAGGTTCCTCTATTATTTTTGTTTAATATAGTCCGAGATTTCTACAAAATTCATGGTTATTGACTAGATTTTCGTGGCCATCTTTTTAGATGACTCTCGTTCAACTCTGGTATTGCGTTACGTCAGAAATTTTATTATTATTGTTTACCTGCCTCGTTTTGACTTCTTAACACTCGATCTAGTCTCCTCACGGCCAGAACATTTGTCAAAGATCGACAAGAAGGACAAGAAGGAACGGATGCCGGAGACCGGGCAGAATCTAATTGGATCATGGTGAGATAAGACCTTACATAGAAAGAAAGACCTTCTGGAAAAAGATGTGGAAAAAAATCCGGATTTTGCGCTTTAATAACATTTTATCATATATAAACATCTTTTCAACACTCGAAGATAAAATCCGTATCTCCGCTCGCCCATGTAATATCCTCTATATCAACTCTGGTGGCAAAGTATCGGATGCGTGTTAGTAATACTTCATTTGATTCCACTCTTGTTGGAAAAGCGCGGCCAAATATTGAATGCAAATTAAAGTAATCACAATCATATTCTTTATAGTGTGATTTAAAATCACTTAACGATTTAACAGTTTGAACTGCACCATTAAATCTAAATTATATACTCGATATTCTCTTTATCGACTCTTTATTTTGACAATACAAAAAGAAAATAATGGTGGGAAACTACATACCTATTGCAAAAAAAGGGATGTTTTGAGTTTGAAAATTACCTTGATATTGTTAGTAATGTTATACATCGCCAATCAGTAACAAAACTAAAAATGCGAATGCAGCCTTACTACTGAAAAAGAAGCCAGAAAAAAATTCTGACTTTGAACGGGATTCGAACCCAAGACCTTTGCGTTACCGGTGCAATGCTTTGATTGCTCAGTTGGTAGGGCATTGCACCGGTAACGCAAAGGTCGTGGGTTCGAATCCCGTTCAAAGTCAGAATTTTTTCTGACACACAGTCCCGTAGGCTGCCTTACAAATGGGGGGTTGGCGTTTTTCCATAATGCTGACCTAAAAAAAGTCGGCCATTGGCTGTCTTTGCAACACAATTTAATTTTATTTCTTAATACAAAATATTCCGGTTGCATGGTCTCAAGCTTCATAGGCTATCTGTTATCCAATAGACAATCCATCTCTGAATTAGCTAAGCTACTTAGGTTTAAACTTTAAGACTTTGAGTTTGTAACATGTTTGGCGATATGGTGTTGTGGACAATAGATTTATGCATTGCCTCGGTTTCATATCATCCCTCTTTCTACAGCAACGGAAGAATTACGYCAGTCTTCGAGCACGATTTTACGCATTTTTCGATCTGTGAAATAGCGTTAATCTTTCCTCATGCATATCTATCTATCTAAATTTTGATATATAACGYGCGCTCTGATTGGCTGACGACCGTGTTTATATCAGATTACAGAGACACGGCTTACCGGCAAAATTCGTTTTTCGCTCGAAAGACGCAGAAAAATTTTATAAAAGAACTATAAAACGCTACGCTCTGTAGCTGTCTTYTCTCGTGTTTTTCAACCCCCGTGTTTATATCAGAGGAGAGAGACACGCGCGCAGTAAGTCGAATCAAATCGTTTAAATTCGTGGCAATTATTTTTTTTACCTTAAAACATAGATTTGCATAGTAATTGTCATTTTGTCTCATCAGTCCCACAATGATCCGTCTCCAGGATAAAAGCCATTTCCCGCTAATCAACGTGTTCGATTTAAAAAAAGGTATTTAATTATATGCGCTTGACATTTGCTAAGATCTAATGGTAAGAGCTAATGCATTTTTTCTTACTGAAGCTATTCACTTTTATGGGTTATTCTTCAACACGRAAGAGAAGCATCACTCACTCCACTGCACCCGTCACCTTACTTCSCTCGAAAGGCGAGGAGGTTTAATCAAATAACCGCGCAAGTCCCTGAATAAGTGACGATTTCAAAGCTTGATGCGGTCATGGACCGACTTTCAGCGACTGGATACCAACTTATCTCAACATATATGTGTTTTCTTATACTATTTGGAGGGTCTATTCAAATAGTTACTTTCCTAGTCCTCATACGATCTACCGATCTCAAGTCCAAGTCCTTAACGCCATATTTGATCAATGTAGTAGCAGCAAACATGGTTATGATAGTGGGAAGTTTTCCATCGACGTTGGCTTCATCCATTGTCAATGAGTGGGCTTTCAACGATGCTGCGTGTCGTGTAGTAGGTTTTCTAGGTGGTATAGCTGCCATATCGATGATCGCCACGATGACTTGCATAACAGTTAAAATATATAATACTCTYGTTTCACGTGGATTATCTAAGCCATCGCCAAACAATCGCAACTTGGTGGAGTACAAATTTATATCATTGATTTGGYTGTACTCAATTCTTGGCATGCTACCTCCTTTAGCAGGTTGGACAAGAACGATCAAGGAAGCTGCSGATATGAGTTGCGCACCAAATTGGAAGGCCGAGGACACACCAGACCTTGTATACATATTATTTTTAACTYTTTTGTCGTACATTATACCAGTTTCAATAGCAAGCGTTTACCATTGGAAAATCAACAAAGCAATTAATGAACATCTCAAAACAGTCTCTCGATTTTCAAGCGCGCAGAGGCAACTGGAAGGTTTTCGTAACATCAGCAAAATGTCTGGTTTGGCAATCGTAGCATTTACGATCACTTGGTTGCCATATTGYGYTTATGCTCTCATTTCAGCTTTCGGAGGATCGCATCTGATTGATACCAAGACGGGATTAATTGCGTGTCTTGTGGCTAAATCAAGCATTCTATACAATCCTTTTRTATATGCACTAGTCAACCCAAGGTATGTTTGTATATTCTTGATTTTATACTGTTAGCCGTATTCGTTTTTTCTTGTTTCCAATTACTCCTAGCCGTTCAATTGGCTTTTATTAGTCTTAAGATTTTATCTCGCTATTATGACAAACTTAAGATTATTGACATGACTTAAATACATAAAACAAATAGATTATAAGCCACAACACGAACACAAATAAGATCGATAAATCTTCACAACACATGCAGTTATAAATTAGAATCTGAAGGTGAAGACAACGATGATTCGTTATTATATCACCTGCTTATAATCTAACTGGACTTCTCTGTAATCGAAATTAATGACAATCTTTTGACATTTTAACTACCTGAAGAAGTGCCATTTAAAATAGCGGAAATTTAGGTGATTAACTAAAACCCAAATGACCAGTGTCTTCACTTATGTCAAACTAAGATATATCGATATTTCATGTAAAGCCCTTTAGGGTAAAATTGGAAGATTCTCAGAGTTCATTTCTCACGGAGCTTATCCTMAGCTGTGGATCMTAAAATTTTAAAATTGTAAAGCTACAGCTGGAGAATTCTTACAGTTTCTCGATAAAATCRTATGAATTATGCATGTAAATCAATARATCGTAAAGCCGGATGAAAATCCTCCTGATGTTTYACAGACATTAACGTCCGATGCGTATAGGAAGTTAGATCCTTTTACAKTYCATWATCCCTGGTACTGAATCTATGCTGCGCGTAATTCATCTTTTTTCATTAGTATCGTCGACACAGCTTACACTTTCTCAGCCTGGATTGTASGACMATGAGGATTATCTTTTGATCTATGCAGTGAAACCTAGCATTAGTTTAAGTAATCGCGTTAGCTATGAAACTCGATTGGCCTACTTGTCTCCAGGCTGATCTCCTGACAACTTATATTTCAAGATGACAAATAATAGATTTGCTGGAAAACGAAAGGTGTCTGCGTGCACGATAGCCAAGGGTTTCTCTTGGATAGAAAATGGTTCTGATTTCATGAAGGCTTRAAAATCYCTTATCTTTTCACGCAAATAATGTAGTGATGAAATGATGGTTTCAACTACACATTTATTCACTGGATGCAGTTCAAACAATTCCATCATTTGTTACTACTATGTATGTATCGGTTCACCTAATARAATGACCGCTCGACAACATGGTTGGCTTCAAAGCTCAGTTGGTAGAKCACTGCAACGGCATCGCAGAGGGTCATGGGTTCGATTCCGCATTAATTCACTCCGACAATCACAATTCTTTACAATAATGGAGTACAACACGTTTTAAAGAATATGTATGATATCCTGGAGGCATTGATGAACAACAACCGAATYTGAATTCAAGATATAATGGTTATCATGTTGTAATGCAAATTATCTATGTGGTCTTCCCGTCAATAAACATTTGCGCCGCCCTTGATTACCGAATGGATAATTTGCATTACAATATTTAATAAAGAAACAAGCAGGACTGCTATTGTAAATAAGACCTACTAAAACTATATGACAATAAAAACTGATGCTTTTGTTAATAATTCACGCCATTGACAAGCACTTCATCAATGGGATAATAGTTTTAGCAATCGTGTTTTAACTCATTGTTCTTTTCTGTAGATTTCGAGCAGATGTGTTGGCTTTACTCAAGATAAAACAACCGCTACCAAGCAACCAGGAATACGACTCACTTCAAGCTCAAACTGATCGCTCACTTAGACCGCGTGGAGAAGGTGACAACAATGGCAGCCAAAGTGGTTTCTCTCTCCCATCTTTTTTCGTGAGGAGGGCTGGGAATACTCGCAGAGAGCCTCGTGTTCTTTTTGTCCGATGTGAAGCTTCAGGAAGTAGCGTTCACAGTGTTGTAAGTAGCAATGTCCTCCAAGATAGTCAAGTGTAACTATGGACTAAAATTCCCTTGTGTCCGCATTCAGGAACATTCTGGTCTAATTAATCCAGGGTAATTAATGTATAGGGTAATTATTCAAGGGTTTACTATACATAGGTTTTTAAAAGTTAGGAGGAACCGACGGGTTGTTGGGAAAAATATATCTGTTCTTATGTCCAAGCCAGCTGTAAGTCACACTGGTTGCCCTTAAGGAAGAAAGAATTCTCCAGGCAAGGAATACTTTCTAAAACAATTTTTCCAGGAAAACAAAACTTTCCTAGCTAAAAAGAAATATGCCGTTTTTGACCATAAAAACGTTATATGAGCCTTTTTTTATTACCTTTTTTGAAGTTTGCCAGGAACAAAATTATGTTATAAAAGGAAGGGCGAAACATTTGCTGGTGAGGTTGTCAACAATGCAGCTCAAAAATCCCTTTGGCCAGGAAAAGACTCTCGTACCAGAACAGTTGTATTGAAGAACAGACCCCGTCGGCTCCTCCTTAAAAGTGCTAACACACAGGAGTATAGCGCTATTCGAGTTGTGATGAACAATCCAGCTTAAGTGAATAGTGAATTGCCTGTCACTATCCAATGGCTATATTTCTGATTTTCCCGAATTGCAGCAGAATACAAATGACTTTGTACGGTCAATGAACTCCCTGAGGGCGGCTGGCTGGGTTGCTCATCCTATAAAAATCACGTCTATATACTCTACATGTTTCATATCAGTGGGATATTAAATAATGATTGCAGATTATCATTGATTAAAATGACCGCTTTATCAGTTATTGTCATTGTGGCAAAAAGATAAATAAAAATTACAAAGTGTATTAAATGTATGGAGTTTCAATCCCGGATTGAGGGGCCCTCAGTGGCCGTGTCATGAGTTTGTGAGTGCTTTTATCTGTATGGTGTTAACTGTAACGTTGAATAGTTCCAGACAAGACTACATCATCAGGATTCTTGATAGTCTTCCAATGTTTCACTGACGTCATAGAAATTTTGGTAAATGTCCTCATCATTCCCAGAATTCTCAATAGAATTATTYTGATATCTATAGTCGTCATTTTCAAAGYCYTCAAACGTSGYCTTGACATCGTAGAAATTTTGATAAATGTCCTCGTCATTCCCAGAGCTCCCAATTGTATCTTCCTCTTTCTTCGTATCGTAAGTTTGATACATTTTAATATCTTCCATATTTTGATAGATATCCTCAGAATTATCGTCTCCTACAGTAGTGTCATTTAAATCATTCATATCTTCATAGATACCCTCKGCATCCCCAGGATTCTTTACTACTGTCCTTTTAATATCGTCGAGATCTTCATAGATCTCCTCCGCATTCCCATGATTATCAGCGGCGTGGGTCCTCTTTTCAAAGTCTCCAATGTTTCCGTAGAAAACTCTATCATTGGTAGTCGGTCTTGGTGTTTGGGGTATCGCGGGTGCTACTGTAGAGAATGTTTCGTTGTTATGATGTAAATTCTGTCTAATAGACTCATCGTCGACASGAATTGCWGTGTAGTTCCATATCGACCCTGACCTGCTGTTCCTCCTGCAAGAAGTAGGGGTTRRCAAACTTTGCGATCAATTCAAAGTTCAATTCAAGCGTACTGCTTATACTTATATTAAACTTTTCCTTCCRTTCCTTTGGCAGAAGATGGTGAGCTTAGAATGACAGGGGAAGAYCCTCAAAGGTGGGAGGAATAGGGTCTGGAAATATTGATTTGAACTGAGTATTAAATGGSGATTTAAAATATTGATTGGCTAAGTTCGGAAAGCAAAATAATATGATAGAAAGCTAAGTAAAAGGGGGAATCTAGAAATATATAAGTCGCCACTCCACTCCAAGGTGAGGAAAGATTTAATGAGAAGACTAGCTTACCCTCTTCTGAACTGTTCCTTTGTTTTCTTTGCTTCTTCTTCGAGCCTTTGCTTCGTACTAGAATATATACAGTGACTGCATAAATTACGTTATCTCCACCTTGTGCTACCGCGTTTGCATTCTATGGAATTTAATTCAATAGATAATAGTTTATTTACCTTTTAAAGATTAAACCCATCTTTTTGAGCATTATCAACGTAACTGCAATGGCAACGATGGTAATAGAAGAAAGGGCGATTCCAGCATGCGTCCATTTGATAATCGGCTCTGTCCAAACAAACACACACACATATGTCAGACGACTTATCATCTCAGATGGTTTTTTCTTTCATTTTCTTATTTATTAAAATTATTTGCATTTTAAAGTGCAATATAATAATATTTTACTTTACCTTGGCTCTGATCTTTCTTTTCTTTGGGAACTGTTGAATGAATTAAATGAGTATACTACATAAGTTTGCGAGTAAGTAACGGGGTGGACGTTTTGAAAAGAAAGCGTGGGGTCCCGACACTCGTTTATAATATAGATTAAACCAGTAATTTACACATGAACAATTCTTGAAAAGATCTGCTTTTCTCCGGTCACTCGTTTCTGGATCGATACAGAATGAGTAATTCTTACCGTAAAAGAGAATCTGTAAGCCTCTGAGTGTGCATCCTTGACTATTACAAGCCTCCAACTCATAATTYCCAGAATGGTTGGTATAAAATGGCGGAAGTACAATGAGAGCCGTATCRGACGGCTTGATCCCTAGATCCTCTTTGATCTCTTTGTTGTCTTTCATCCATCTAGTTCGAATAGGTCGTAATCCCTAAATATACAAGAATACTATGTGTATACTGCCAAAGAGTGACTTATAGGTCGTCAGTCGAGTTCAGATGGTCGGTATAGACCCCTTGCATGTGAAGTCAAAGTTGCTTCATCTGGAGGATTATAGATTTTTGCTCTCTTGGGAACTACATTCCATTGTTTCGTCCTCCAGCTGGAGCTGCATTTCCCGATTACCTGCAAGGGTTCTATAAGTGTGTAAGCCATTTGACTTGTCCAAAGTCGTTCTCCCTCGCGCGCAAGGCATCAAGGGAAGTTCACTGTCTTCTTCCCATAAAGCTTTGTACACCACTAGAAGCGCAGAACGATTAGGGACGAGTATACACAGTAGAAGATACTACACTCTCTTTTGAAATTAGGTTCA